ATAATTGGATGATATTTTACCCTACTCTGTTTGCACCCCAAGGAATTACTCGCTCCAAGTCCCTGTGCCAGCGAACAAAGTCCCGCCTCATTTTGCCGAGGGAGCCGCGGCCGTTCCCAAACTCCGTTTCCTGCACCCGCCGCGGTTCCCCCGCGCTCTCCGTGGATCCATCCCCCTCCCGGCCTTGTCAGGGGGGACACAGCACCCCCCGGACCAGCAGCTGCCCGAGGGCCGTGACCCCCGGCAGCTGCCCCGGGCCGGGACGTGCCGGGCGGGCAGGAACCCTCACGCACCTTGGCACCGCATCCGTCACCTGCCGGGAGCGGGGCCAGCCCGGACAGGGGGGTCTGCCCGGGTTCTGGGGGTTTTTTTTCAGCCCTACCCTCCCTCCGGGGCTGCCAGCAGGAGCTCACCTAGGACAGGCAGGACAGGCCAGCCCCGCTCTGCCCAGAGTCACCTCTACCAGGGCTCGGGGACGCCAGGAGGGCTCTGTCGCCTCCTGCCCCACCGGGTCCTGCTCCGGGGCTGCAAACGGCGGTTCGGCTTTTCCTCCTGCGGTAAACCGGGTGCTCAGGAAGCCCCCAAGTGTCCCAAAACTGGTTTGTTCGGGATATTTGTGCCCAGGGGACGCAGCCACACGCCCGCTCCTGTCCCTGAGCTGTGCCAGCCCTGGGGCCAGCGCGGAGCCGGGACGGGCTGCAGCAGAAGGGGGAGGGCAGAGCTCAGCCCAGGGCTCCACCAGCCCCCATTCTGGGATCACCGGTGCCAGCAGGAGCCCGGCAGGAGCACAGGGACAGGTACCACCCCTCAGAGCCTGCTCTGCTCCTCTCCTGTCACTGTGGGTCCCCAGGAGGGTGCCCAGCCCTGCCCTGAGTTTTTGAGGCACTGAAACCCCTGCCAGGGTGCCCCATGACATTGGGGTGACACTCCAGGTCCCATCTGACCTGCAGCTTTCCCTCTGCTCCCCTTTACCTCCATCGAGGACTTAAGGTCACCCTGAGTGTCCCTCAAGGCCACTGCTCCTCCCCAGTCCCTCCTGTGGGACCAACACTCCCCTGCCAGCTCTTCCCATATTTCCTCACATCCACCCCCTCTCCTTTCCTTGCCTTAAACATTTCCACTTTCACCCCATTCCCTCTGCCCTCCCCAGCCCCTCTTCTCACTGTACCCTCTACCCCCTTCCCCACCCCAGGCAGGGTCTCTGGAGGGCAACCAGACCCCTCCCATCCCTGGGGACACTGGTGGCACTGGGACAGACCCCTCCCGGCCCTGGGGACACTGGTGGCACTGGGGTAGAACCCTCCTGGCCCTGGGGACACTGGTGACACTGGGATCAACCCCGTTTCAGATGGGGCAGCGACACCCCAGGGACGTCCCCAAGGGCACAAGGTGGTGGCACAAGGGCTTCTGTCCCTTCCATGGCTGGGGGGGTCTGGGGAGGGTTGTCACTTCCCAGGATTCTCTGAAGCAAATGGGATCTGCTCCCTTGATGGGACAGTACGTCTTGGATCCATCCCATATCCTGGATCCATCCCCTATCCTGGATCCATCCCCGCATCCTGGATCCATCCCGCGTCCCTCTCTAACCCAAACACCTTTGCTTGAGAACCTCCCAACCGTGTCCCCTCCCCGAAGAGTTTCCTGTGTCGGGAGAGACTACGAGAGGGGTTGGAGCATCCCGAAATCCCAGTGACTCCCTCCAGGTTCCAGTAAACTGTGAATACACTCCAGTTTGGGGTATTCCAGCTGCATCCCTTCCCCGCTGCCACCAGGGAGAATCACGGGGACGCTCAGTCCGGCTGGCCCCGCCGAAATCCCCTGGATATCGTGCCAAACTCTGGGAAGAGGCTGTTCCTAAGAGTCCCTGCTGTCCCCAAAGCCAGGGGTGGCCCAGCCCTGTCCTGGATGCGGGAGCTCCTCCTGCCAGGGGGTCACTGCCCCGGAGCCGCTGTCCCCGTGACCTCCGGGGGGGAACATGCCCCCCAAAGCCCTGTGGGGCAGCAGGACCGGGCCGGGGGCTCAGGGAACAGGGGGGATCTGTCCATCCAATAACCTACAAGGAAGATACTCCGTCCTGCTCTGCCCACAGCGGTGCCAAAGGGACACCTGGATGTTGGCAGAGGAGGCCAAACCACCCCCTCCAGCCCAGGGTGACCAAGGACAGGGAGAGAGGGGACGAGGCTGGAGGTGGCTCATGTGCAGGGGCTGGGGAGGGGGCACAGACCCCGAGGGATCCGTGGACAAAGGACAGAGGGGGAGGGATCCTATGCTTTCCAAGAGCTGCCCCTGAAGGAGGAGGAGAAATCCTGAGGCAAAGAAAAATCGAGAGCAGCCCTGAGAGAAGGACCTGGGGGGCTGGTGGGGGAGAGGCTGGACAGGACCCAGCCCAGAACCCCCCATGCCCTGGGCTGATCCCACAGCAGGGGCAGTGGGGAGGGGGGATCCTGCCCCTCTGCCCCCTCAGGTGAGACCCCCCCTGCAGAGCTGCCTCCAGCCCTGGGAACAACAGCACAAGGACGTGGAGCTGCTGGAGAGAGTCCAGAGGAGACCCCGGAGATGCTCCAGGGTTGGAGCCCCTCTGCTCTGGAGCCAGGATGGGAGAGCTGGGGGGGTTCATCTGGAGAAGAGAAGGATCTGGGGAGACCTGAGAACCCCTTCCAGAGCCTAAAGGGGCTCCAGGAGAGCAGGAGAGGGACTGGGGACACGGGATGGAGGGACAGGACACAGGGAATGGCTTCCCACTGCCAGAGGGCAGGGATGGATGGGATATTGGGAAGGAATTCTTCCCCGGGAAGGTGATGAGGGGCTGGGATGGAATTCCTAGAGGATGCCCCATCCCTGGAAGTGCCCAAGGCTGGGTTAGATAAACTTGGAGCTACCTGGGAAAGTGGAAGGTGTCCCTGCCCATGGAAAGGTGGGACGGGATGAGCTTTGATGTCACTCCAATCCAAACCAGTCTGTGATTCCATGACCCAGCGGCTGGATGGGGAACCCTTCACCCTTCCCAACACGTGGAGGGTATCCCACCCTTCCCACAGGATGGAAACGCCCCAGAATCCCTCTGGGAATGGTGGCCAGAGGCGTCATTCCCACCCAGCCCCTGTAAAGCTCCGAGGGATCTCACGGGGGTGGTCAAACCCCACAGGAATCCCGAGGGACGTGCGGGGCTCCGGCCCAGCCCCGGTTGCCGCTGGAGGCGAGAACCTGATTTATTGTCACAACCTGCAGGGGACACGGCCAGGCTGGGTAGGGGACACCTCCCTGCTGTCCCGGCACCAGCACTGGCACAGCAGAGCTTGGGGGTCCCCGTGAGCTTCCGGGCTGTGCCCCAATCCCGCCCAGCACCTGGAAAAGGGGCAACACCCTCGGGGTTCCTCTTTTTCCTGCCGTCTCCCCCCTTTTTGGGGGATGCAGGAGGAGCTGGGCCGTCCTTTCCCACCCGGAGGGAAGAGGGGAGGGAGCTGCCAGGGCCCGTCATCCGATCCCAGCGTAAACTTAGCTTGGCCTTTGGGAAAGGACTCGGGGTGGCAAAACCCGCAGTAAATCACGACCCCGGATGCCACTGATGCCTCGGGATTAGCGAATCCCACAACCTGGACTGGGTCGGGATTGGAGTCTGCCAGGGGAACCAGAGGGTGCTGCCCAACTGGGACCCCCCAGCTCCTGGAGGGGGAGCGGGATGGAAATCCTGGATTTTAGGAGGAGATGGGGAGAGGTGTGGGGTCAGTGCTGGATATGGGGTCAGCAATGGCTGTGGGGTCAGTGCTGGGTGTGGGGTCAGCAATGGCTGTGGGGTCAGTGTTGGCTGTAGGGTCAGTGTTGGTTGTGGGGTCAGTGTTGGTTGTGGGGTCAGGAATGGTTGTGGGGTCAGTGCTGGGAGTGGAGTCAGTGTTGGTTGTGGGGTCAGTGTTGGTTGTGGGGTCAGGAATGGGTGTGGGGTCAGTGCTGGGAGTGGGGTCAGTGCTGGCTCTGGGGTCAGTGCCGGGTGTGGGGTCAGGAATGGGTGTGGGACTAGCACTGAGTATGAGATCAGTAAATCTTAAAGCCCTGGTTTGGGGTTGGGGGTTGGAGCCCTACCAGGGAACTGGGGTTTAAATCCATGAAGTGAAAGGAAAAACGGTCAGTGTGGTTTGTTTCCCAGTCCCTGGGAACTCTGCAGCCTCCTCTGCAGCCCCTTCCCCCCCCTCCAAAGGAATGGGCCCTAAAGCTTCTTCCATGGAAAAAATGGGTAATTTTGAGGGGGTGTGACTTTGACTGGGGGGACTCTGAACCCCTGAAATTGGAACAAGGAGGGATTTGGGGGATTTAGAAGCCGTGAGTTTGGTGTTCCATAAGGGCTGATATCTCTTTTCCCTGCCCAGTCTGGGATTGCTTTTCTCCTGGTCATGGCTCAGAGTGCCCCAACCTCCCTGTCCCAGGAGATCCCCCTGCACCCACAGACATCAGAGGGAAGAGGAACAGGCATCAGAGGGAAGAGGTAGAGGATGTTCCAGGAAACCCCGTTTTTGGGAGCTGGGAGTGACCACAGAGCACCAAACAGGGCAGGGAGAGAGAGGAATCGGTGGCGGGAATTTTGCAAACACAAGTAGACTGAACCCACCTGTCCTCAGCCCAAGCAAAACCCCTCGGGGGGGTGGGATAACCAGAGGGAAAAGTCTCTCCAGGAGCCGAGATAACCAGAGGGAAAAGTCTCTCCAGGGGAGGTCCCTCTTCCCGCAAAGTCTCCCAGGGTGTTTTCCTTGCTCTAATGCTGCCATCCAGTGGGAAAAACTCCCTGGCATGGGAAAGGCTGGAAGAGAGGACCTCGGGACACCTCGGGACGCCCTCGATGATCTCCCTGCCAGGATTCTGCGGCTGGACCCCCTCCTGTGTCTCCGAGCCCCGATCCCAGCCTGGATGCGACGGGAAATATGGGAACAGCTCACAAGGAGCTCCCTCGAGTTCCTCCGGCACCTTTATCCTCTCCCAGAACGCAGCGAGGGGGTGGGAAAGGGGTGAGGATGCCCCGGGACGAGCGAGGGGCGACAGTCCGAACCTTCCTCCGAAGGAGGAGGCTGCGGGACGAGCGGGCTGCCGGCACTGAGGACACCCCGCTCCCAGTGCGATGCTCCCACCGGGATATTCCGCAGAAAACCGAATTCCAGCGCGTGTTCAGCACCACTGGAGGCTTCCAGTAGGGAAAAAGTCCCAAACGCAAAAGTCCGTGAGGCCGCCCAGGGAAGCGGAGCCACTCCGGGACCACAATGCGGCCGTTTGTTGTCCCGGTGGGCGGCAGAATTCCCGCAGAAAAGAGCTTTCAGTGGGAATATTAAGCAGTTTCAGCTCCCTCGGCAGAGCGGGGTTCGCTGGATTGGGCGGGGGCACAAAGGGACAGTGTTTTCCTCGGGAGAGGGAGGTGTTGGGGGCTGGAACGCGGTGCTTTTCTTCCCGCACAGGAGCCGCTTGAGAGGAATCGAGGCGTTATCGAGGCGGGATCGTGGCCGGAGATTTTCCTTAAAGGGAGAAAGCAGAAAAGATTTGTGTATTTGGGAACGAAATCAAAGAATTCGGGGATTTCTTTCGACTGGAGGCAGCAGCTGTTTTCCTCCGGTGGCACTGGTTTCCAGGAAAGTAGTAATTTTCCTCCAAAACCAAGGGGGAAACCCCCGAACTTTTTCTTTTCCCTTCATGCCAAGGAGGAAATTTGTCCTGGGAACAAGCCCTGTGTGCAAACAAACTGCTGCTCCCTCCTCTGGGAAGCACAAATACTTTGCCACCCACTCAAAAACGGTCCGAAAATGACTCCTGGAGCAGCAATTCCCTGATAACCTCAAGGAGGAGGTAGAATCCTGGCTGGATCAGAGGTTCATGTCCCGGTGGGGATGGATTTTGGAAGCATCCAGCACCTCTGCGAGCTGGCAAAGGCCGTTCCCCCCGGCTGCAAACCCACTCTCGAGCTCCGGCCCACACTCGGGAAAGGGAAGGGGATGATGGGAGGTGTTGCAAAACATGGAAGATTGGGATATTTGGTACAGGGAATCTGCTCCACAGCTGCAAACGGCCCCACTGAGGCCAAGAACTGTGCACAGCTCATCACACAGGCAGCCCTAATAAATGTGCCCGAGGTCCCTCCGTGTGTTTAATTAGACCACAGAAGGTAAAAAACTACTTAAATTACCAGAACAGAGATTATTTGGGTTGGAAGGTATCTTTAATTACTGTCTAAGCACTGTCCCATTGGAAATATTAGGGGTGTGGACAAGCTGAGGATGGGAAAGGGGGATTTTTTTCTTTTAAAGGGATCACTGGTTTTAGAGAGATTTTCCCTGCGGGTTTGGGGCAATAAAACCACCCAGCAAAGCCGAACAGCTCCGGGACAGGGAGAGCCGGGATTGCAGCACTAAGGAACTGTTCTTCCCTCTGGATGAAGCACCTGGGAGGGGGAACAAATCCCTGACTGGTGGAGAAACGTCATCTGGAGGGAAAGTACAACTCCGGAACTCCCGAGCAGAGCCGGGAGGAGCTTGCAGCCCCTGGGAATGAAGCATCACTGGGGTGGGTGATGGGCTGATTCCCCATCACCTCACAGAGCAGGAGACCCCAAAAACCCCCGTGCCCTGGAGGGGACGGATCCGTGTCACCTCCGTGCCCTGCTCTGGGGGGTTCCCGTGAAGAAAAGGGCTCGGGGGGGGGGGGACAGAGCAGGATGTGGGCAGTGCTGGAGCGCTGGGGGTGGATGTTTCCACCCCTGTGGTGAAGGGCAAAGCCATCCCTTGTCCCCGGGGTCCGTGCCCCCGTTCCCACCCTGTGTCCAGTTGTGCCCCAGCCTGGGCTGTGCTCGTCCCCCCACCGGGGTGCCCAACCCCGTTCGTGGGGGTGCTCAGTTCCCTCCGTGCCCGGTTCTCCTGGATGCCTCATTCCCGGTTCCTCCTCATGCAGCCTCATGCTCTGGGGTGCTCCCGACTCCCCCATTCCCGGTGCTCCCAGTCCCGTGCCTGGCGCTCCTGACTCCTCCTCCGCATTCCCGGTTCTCCCCGCATCCCTGTATTCCCGGATCCCCCACCTCCGGTTCCTCCATCCTCGGCTCCCCGCTCCGCTGATTCCCGATGCTCCCCGGCCCTCCATTCCCGGTTCTCCCGGTTTCCCGGTCCCCCCGCGCCCCAGTGCCCCCGCTCCCGGGGAAAGTCCCCGGTGCCCGACGGGTGCCAGGTGCTGCCCGGTTCCCTCCTCCTCCTCCCTCTCCTCCTCCTCCTCTCCGCCCCGTCCCTCCTCCCCCGGGAAAGCGAAAGCTCGGCGGGCGGAAGCCGAGCCCTCCCCCCGGGCCGCGCCGGGGCCGCTCCGGGAACGCGCCGGGAACGCTCCGGGGTCGCCCGGGGGCCGCTCCGCGCCGGGGCCACCATGGCTTCTTCCATCGGCAGCTTCTTCCGACGGAGCCTCCGGCGCCCCGGGCGCAGAGGTGAGAGCCGGGAGCGGCTCCGGGAGGGGCTCCGGGAGGTGCCGAGGTCGGGGTCGGGATCGGGGTCACTGTCGGGGTCGGGACAGGTCCGTCCCCGGGGCCGCGGGAGCGAGGACGTTCCAGGGCAGTGCCGGGTGAGACGGACGGGACCGACCCCGGCTCGGAGCCCTCCAGCCCGGCCCGTCCGCGCTGCCCCCGCACAGCCCCGCTCGGCCTCGCCGCCCCCGGGACCCCCGCACCTCCCGGAGCTGCCCCGTCCTCGGGGGATCACCCCAGAGCCGGCATTGCACCCCATCCCGGGGGATCAGCTCATCCCGGGGGATTCACCCCGTCCCAGCCGATCCCACCCCGTCTCAGCTGATCCCACCGCAGCCCCGGGGGCTTTCCCCCATCCCAGGGGCACTCCCACTGAACATCCCAGGAATGCCAGGACATGGCACGGGGACATCCTGGGGGGACCCGCGGGGGGAGCCGCAGGGACGCGGTGCCCCCGAGGCCGGTGGGCGTTGCAGAGTCCTTGGAACGGCAGGAGTTGAGATCTTTTGGGATCTGTGAGCTTTTCCCGATGGTTCATCGGGGTTTTCTGGCCCGACGGATCTCTGGAGCCGCAGCAAAGCGGGACAGCGGTTTTGGAAGAGTTCTCTGTGCCCCCTCCCCGGGGTTTAGCGCTGGCTCTGGCTCTGGGTGCCACCCAGGTTGTTCCCAGCTCAGCAGGAGAGGTTGGATGAAGCCAAAGCCTTTCCCCCCCGAGCTGAGCTGCCCCCACACCGTCCTGCCGGCTCGGGAGACTTTGGCTGTTCCGGGAGGAAGGGAACAGGTTGTGCCACTTCGGCAGCTCAGCCCCGGCCATGAGGAAAACCTGGGGCAGCCTTTGCCCTCCCCGTGCCCGCAGGATGGAGGGGGAGGATCCACGGCGAGGGGACCCGACCCCTCTCACTGCTCACGGTGTCCCTGGCCCCAAACCCACTCCCCGGGACTGCCGGGGGTGTTTCAGAGGGGATTAGGGCCAGGGGGCTGCACCCCAATAGTCCCCCACACCCCACAGGCACTGAGGAGCCACCCCAGGATCCCCCTAACACCCCCTTATGTACCCTGTGACCCCCTCCCCGAAACCCTGAAGGGCCCAGCCCAGGTGCCCTCAATGTACCCCAGAGACCCCAGGAGCAGAACCTCCGAGGACCCCATAAACACCCCAAGACCCCCCCAGGGACTCCACAAACACCCCAGAAACACCCCAGAACCCCCTCAGGGATCCCACAAACACCCCAGGACCCCCCCAGAGACCACATAAACCCCACCCAGGAGCCGTGTGATCGCCCCCGGCCACCCGGCTCATCTCTCTCCTCCCGAGGGGATGTTCCTGGTGCTGGGGGGCCGCGAGTGGTCCCTGAGTCTCCCCTACACGAGCTGTGGGGGAGTCTGGTGATGGTGTTTTGTGCTCCCGGGAGCCGAGGGGCCGGGAATCCTTCTGGGTTCGGGAAGCACCGGGATCTCTGATGCCACATTTGGACAGCGCACCCCGGACATCCTCAGAGCGCCTTTTCCAGCCCAGGGATGGAGAATTGTTGTCTCCGAGGGGTTTAGGCTCTGCCAGGAGGGTTTGCAGCCGGAGCCAGCGATCCAAACTTCTCCATGTGCCGGAGGCAAAGCCCGGGATGAGCGGCCCCTCCTCCTCCCGCAGCGGGTTTGACTCGTTCACTTGGAAACCCCACGGCCAAAATGCAAATCCAACCCCTCCTCCGGTGTTCCCTGAAATGCAGGACGGGACTGGAAAGGCAGGATTGAACCAGACTCTCATCCTGCCCCGGTGATGGGAAAACAACTGATTCTGTGTCCAGCGAGGACGGGGGACACCAGTAGCCCCCCCAGGGCACAGCCGGGTGGTCCCTGGGGACCCCCAACAACCTCCTGCCCGGCCCTGGGGGTGGGATTGGACCAAACCTGTCGCTGGAGCATCCCGAGGAGGAGCAGGACAAGCAAAGCCCATTTTGTCCACCTTTTCCACGGAATGTCACGGGGGGGACCCCCAGGGAGGACAAACCAGAGGTGTCCTCAGCCTTGGAACGCTCCTGGGCTGCCCCTGCTGCCAAGGCACCTCTTTGGGATAAGTTTCACTTTGTCAAGAGGGAGGACTTTGCACATGGAGTTGGAGCAGCCCCAGGGCTCCCTGAGCTGGTAAAAGGTGTTTCTGGTCCCTGAGAAGGGACATCCCATGGTGGGACTGTGTCACCTCCTCCCATCAGCTCCCCAGGACCCGGAGAGAGGCTGCAGAGGTGTTTCCAGACTAAAGGATGGATACATGGGGTGGGATGTCCACCAGCACTGCCTGAGGAGGAGGAGGCCATGTGTGGAGAAGGGAGATGGGGTCATCTGGTCACAGCCGCGGGACAAACCCCGGGATCTGGGGACAAACCACAGGAGCCACTGATTTCATCCAGTTTATTTTCCTGCCTGTTGTTCCCGAGAGCAGCTCCAGTTTTATCTCCTCCAGCTCCCGGGGTGAGCAGAGAGCCCAGTCTGGGACAGTCCCTGTGCCAGGAACCAGGACAAAGGAATCACGAGCAGCTCTGGGAGAGGGCAGAGCTGTGGCAGCACTGAACTGCTCCTCCTCCCCAGCTTCAGACGTCCCTCCATGACCATCTCCTGGAGATGCTGGCTGGGGCTCTGTTCCCTCTTTTTCCAGGTTTTCCAGGGTGTGGGAGCTGACACTCCCCAGGGCCTAACCGGCCCAACGAGAACTGGGGTGTGATCCCAGGAATCCTTGGGAGCTGTGCTTTAGGAAAAACCCTGGAGCAGCTCACTTGCCACCAGCAACTCCCAGCACTGAGGATTTCTGGCAGGGATTCACCCCCCTGGAGCCTTTGGAGGTGCTGGGACAAGACCTGGGCTGTTTGTTTGCTCTTCATTTCCCCCGAGGGGACACAATGAGCTGCTCCAGACAGGTTCCCACAGCTCCCTGCAGACGTGTCCCCGGAGTCCTGTGCCCTCCCACCCTGGGCTGGGGCACAGGAGGGCTGGGGGGGTCTGAGGGCACTTTGATTTTCCTGAAAAGACTCAGGAAAGCCACTTCTCTCCCAGCTGTTCAGTCCTGGGGCACCAGGTCCCGGCTCCCTCCAGCCCCTCTGGCCAGGCCGTGTGTGACCCTGCCCTCAGGACACCTCACACTCCTCATTTCCCTCTGATCTGAGGTTTTTGGTTTGTTTTTTTTTTGAGTACAGAAGGAAAGGACGAGGCCTCTGCTGCAGAAAACAACCCCCCCCGGGTGCCCCAGGGGAAGGTGGGGGACAGGAGCTCGATCCTCTGCTCTGGGCAGTTCTTCTTCGAGTACCTGGTGGTGGTGTCGCTCAAGAAGGTCTCAGAGGGACGCTACGAACCCAGAATCTCCTACCAGTTCCCAAAGGTATTCAGTGCCCTGTTTCTGATCAGATCCAACCTTCCAAATTTAGAGGGAAAAAAGGGGATGTTGTTCCCTCCCCATCATTAAATCCAGGGGAGGGGGAAGAAAAGAGAAAAACACCCTGTGCCCCAGAGCTGGGGGCTTTTCTGGGACCTTCTGTCCCTCCCATCTCCCCACCCGGGGCCACAGAGCCCAGCAGGAACCTCCCGGGGGGTCCCAGACCCCCCGCCCAAAAGGGGGGAGCACAGTGGTGGAATCACACCTTGGGGAAGTGGCACAGGAGGAGACTCCCCCTTTGCAGAGGGAGCCTCAGCTTTGCCTCACTATCCATGGGGTGAGTGAGGGGGAAACTGGGGTTTGGGGATTGTCCAGGGATGTGCTTCGAGCCCAGCGGGGGGTCACTCGGGACAGAGCCTGTCTCCCCCATCCCTGGGCATGATGGGCACCCCCCACCACCCTGACCCCCCTCTCACCCCTTCACCCCCAGCGTGAGAACCTACTGAAGGGCCAGAGGGAGGAGGAGGAACGTCTGCTCACAGCCATCCCCCTCTTCTGCTTCCCTGACGGCAACAACTGGGCCCCTGTCACCGAGTTCCCAAGGTGCTGCCCCTCTGGGGGCTGGGCTGGGCTCCCCCACTCCTACTATGCTCCCGAGGGCTGGAAGGACCATCCCGGACCATCCCAGCCTGTCCCATCCCATCCCGTCCCAGCCTATCCCACCCCATCCCATCCCACCCCATCCCATCCCACCCCATCCCATCCCATCCCATCCCTTCCCATCCCACCCCATCCCACCCCATCCCACCCCATCCCACCCCATCCCATCCCAGTCCATCCCAGCCCCTCGTGTTTTCTCTCCCTGCAGTGAAACCTTCTCATTCGTGCTGACCAACGTGGATGGCAGCAGGAAGATTGGGTACTGCCGGAGGCTGCTGGTGAGGACCCCCCACACCCACCCGGGGTCAGCTCTGGGGGAACACAGCCCCCTGTGCCACCCCCCTGTGCCACCCCCAGCCCAGGGCCAGCCCTGGGGGGACACAGCCCCCTGTGCCACCCCCCTGTGCCACCCCCCTGTGCCCTGCCCAGCCCGGGGACGTGCTCGGCGAGCCGCCGGGCAGAGCTGGTGACAACTGAGCTCTCCTGAGGGCTTGGTCGGATGCTGGATGGAGGAAAACATGAGTGCTCCCAAAATATGTGGATGTGGCACCTGGGGACAAGGTTTAGGGACGGACATGGTGGTGCTGGGCTGATATCTGGGGTTGGGGATCTCGGAGGGCTTTTCCAGCTGTAACCATTCCATGATTCCCCGCGGATCTCCGCAGCTTCCCTGCTCCTTTCCCTTGGCTCCAGTGGGTCGGGGTGGCTGCAAATCCCACCTGGGATCAGGGTGGGGTGTGGGGGGGGTGTCCATCCAGGAGCCAAGGAGCTGGGAGCCCTCAGCCCCATCCCACAAATGTGCCTCTGAGCAGAGGCTGAGTGTGAACCCGGGTTGGAGCAGCTCGGGGTTAGTGGGAGCTGGGCTGGTTTTCCTTGGCTGCTGGTTTGGACAGGGACATAAATCCACGGGGACATAAATCCACGGGGACATAAATCCACAGGCAACCCCTGTGCCATGTTTTGGGGACTTCCTGGATCCCCCATCCCTCCATCCCTGGTGAACCTTCCCAGTTCATCATCCAGGGCCGAGCTCAGGCTGTGGGAATGGGATGTCTGGAGGGGGAAAGTGCAGGGAGCAAATGGACCCAGGATAGACCAGAAGGAAAGGGAAATAAAAACCCAGGGAACTCGTCCTGGTGGTCCCTGCTGCAGCAGGAGGCAGGGTTAGCCCCAAGGATGGTGGGACAGGATGTCTTGGAGAACATGTGTCTAGCTGGGAGGAGGGTTTGGGAATGTGCCCAAGGACTTTGAACCACAATAACACTCAGCTCTGGCCCCCAAATCACCCTGGTCAGGCACCCCCAGCTTCTCCAGCAGCAGCTGCATCCCTGAATTTGGGCCCAGCTCCCAAAATCCCCCAGGGAGCGACTGGGAATTCGGGGGAGGGGAGTGGGGTCTGTGTGCAGAGGGTGGGGCTGGTGCAGTGGGGTGGGAGGTGCTCAGACCCTTTTCCCACCCTCTTCCAGCCCTCTGGCCGGGGCGTCCGGCTCCCGGAGGTCTTCTGCATCATCAGCTGCCTGGGCTGCTTCGGGCTCTTCTCCAAGGTAGGGGTGTGCTGGCTCTGGGTAGAGGTGGCCCATTTGTCCCAGTGGTGGCCCCATCTGGCCCAATGGCAACCCGATTCGTCCAAGTGATGACCCCATTTGAGCTGGTGATGGCCCCCTTTGTCCCAGTGGTGGCCCAGTGTTGACCCCCTTTATCCCAGTGTTGACTCCATTTGTCCCTGTGGTGGCCCCATCTGTCCGTTGGTGGCCCCCTTTGTCCCACTGTTGGCCCCCTTTGTCCCCGTGGTG